GACATTGTTGTAAGCTACAGAGATCAAGTGAGGACCTTTACCATCATCAAAAGGTAAGCTCACGTATTCTCTTGCAAACTCTTGTGCAATCTCCAAAGCAAGCTCACCTTGAATAGCTTTGCAATACATATACATCACAGTAGTTGCAGCAAGATTATACAAGGTCGAAAGCGTTAGAAACGCAGACGTAACCACGATTTGAAGCACGAAGAAGGCGTTTGTCCACCCAATTTCGCCATTTTCGCCATTTTCGTTAAACTGAGCAGAAGCTGCTGCTTTGCTGATCCATACAAGAACCGATTGTGTAACACCAAAGAAGAAGATTATAGACAAAGAAACTCTTCTCATTCCTTTAGTCAAGCTTTTGCTTCTCTTCAATGGAGTTAAACCCCACACCGATTCAACGACAACGACGATCCAAGAGAGAATCCAATCCACCTGGAACTTGATCATGACTACACACAAGACGATCATTACAATCACGAAGGGAGGTAATAAACCGATTTCTAAACCGGGAGTTATGATCTCGATTAGCTTCGTTATTGAGAAGGCAACAAACCCTAGAATCAGAAAAATCCCCAAAACGATTGAATTCGTAGTGATTAGGGTAGCGAGAAGAGGGAAAAACGAAGCGAAGCTCGATTTCATAGCTGAGATCAATTTCACAGGTCTTCCATAGAATCCTTGGAAGATGCTATAAGCGATTGAACCAATAGCTAAGAGATTGAAGACGGTGACGATGATGACGTAAGCAATCGAAAGGAGAATAACCGTTTTGATATCGGGAACGGGTGGTAGTGGTGGAGGTTGTTGGTCGTCGTCGCTGGATCGGAGGAGAGAGACGGTGTTGTGTGAAACGGTGGATTGATCGGAGATGAGGCGGAAGAGGGAAGGGTAGACTGTGATGAAGAAGGAGTTTGGAAGAAGGAAGAGGACGGAGAGAGCGAGGAAGTGGCGTGAGTGAGCGTTGATTATCCTTTTGGATTCCGATAAGACTACCCAGAGATTCACCGGAGAAGGAGGAGTCGCCATTAGAGCGCGTGGAGAGGACGAAGTCAGTAGTAGAAGAGGATTGGAGAAACGTTTCAAAGATAGTTTTTTTTTTTTTTTTACTTCGGAGTAGTCAGATATTTGTACGGGTCGGGTCGGGCCGGGTTAGGGTTGTAAGTTGACGCTAGGCATAATGGGCTTTCCATTCAGTATCCGGAGACGGCATACGGAGTGTGACTTTCTGTATCGTGAATTCAGATTATTTTATTTTGTGACCAAAAAAATAAAAATTCAAATTATTTCAAATACACCATTTTGTTTAAAGATTATCTTATGAGTGTTAGAGTTAAAAACAAGTAGTCCGTATTCGGGGAACAATTAAATCATAAAAGAGATAGTTTCAAGGGAACACTCTAGCGTAGACCAGTCGTATCAGACGTTGTGCCAATGGTATGCGAAGTCAGGTACTTCATCGCAGAGCTGAGAGCTGTATGTTCAATCAAGTGGCGCAAGAAGACAAAAAAGATAGATGAAAAGCACTAGAATGATTCATTCTGGGTCAAACTTGGGACTCTAAGGGCATCCGTATTGGTGACACTCTAAGGGTGTCATCCAATATTAAAATATTAAAATTTGAGTAAAAGTANGAAAGAGAGTGTTTTTTGTTGAAAAAGTGTGGTGTATTGAAATATAAAATTAATAAAATTTGAGTAAAAAGAGGAGATAGAAAGAAACTTTGGAGAGAGGGTGTCTATAGGGAGAGTTTTTTGACACTTTTGGAGAGTGTTTTTTAGTGGGTTTTGTTGTGTTTAAATATAAAATTAATAAAAATTGAGTAAAAGGATGAAAGAGAAGGTATAAAGTTGAGTAAAAGGAAGAGAAAGTATGTTTTTTAATATTTTTTTATTGGATGACACCCTAAGGGTGTCACCAATAAGGATGGCCTAAACCCGACTCAACTAAGGGCGCGAAACTCAGTATCCGGACCCGGATAGGTAAAAGTTTATATATATTACGTGATGCAAACGTAACCACGACCTGCATCACGTTTGACCAAAAAATAAAAATAACGATATATATATTGAATGAAGCGGAATC